CCCCCTGCCATGGCGGACGGCTAGAAAAGACGGCTCCTAGGGTCTCCCAAAAGATCTTATAGGGCAGCGTAAGGGGAGTGTCTAGGGGTACCACAGGCTCACGATTGGTGTGCCTCCAGGCTTGGAGGGCTTGCCCTGTGTTGATTGGTCAACTGGTTATTATGGCCCATAGGCCCTCCCAGGGTGGTTGCTATGCTCTCTACGTCATTGCTGTGCGCTTGTCCGTAAAGCACACCCAGGGTCGTAAAGCATAGCGCCACCAGCTAGCCTGATTGGCTCCTTGTCACGAGACAGGCATCTGACTTTAGTGACTAGGTCAAGGTCATAGAAGCACATGTTCGTCCATTATGGCTGCCAAAAGGGAAGCCGGTTCCTTCAGTTATAAGAGCTAGTGGGACAGCCTAAGCTAAAGGCCAAGCTTTCATAATTAATAATAAGTCTCAGTATTGTTATTTGTGAGCTGGCAGCCCAAAGGAAACTCCGACTACATGAACTGTTTGGAAAGGATTAGGTGTGGTCTTGTGGGAGGAGGTATGTCACTGGAGGAAGGCTTTGAGGTTTCAGAAACCTTATATGAGTCCCAGTGCTCAATCTTTCTCTGCCTTGTGGTTGTGGACCAAGATGTAAGCTCTCAGCTGCTCCTTCACTCTGCTGTTATGGACTCCACACGCTGAAACTGTAATACACATTAAACTCTTTTTGTGTTATCAAATTAAACACTTTATAATTTGTCTTGGTCATAATGTTTTATCACAGCAATAAAAATGTAACTAAGATAAGATGCTTACAAAAAAACAGTTTATTTCTTCACAGTTCTGGAGGCCAGACATCCAAAATGAAGCTAGCATCCTGGTGGGGTTCTTCAAGAGGCCTTGAGGCAGCTGCAGGTGGCTGCTGGATGTTCCTAGCTTTGGAGCTGTGTTACTACCTTCTGTCCTCACCCTCACCCTCACACTCTTTCCTACCTGAGTCTGTCGCAAATCTCTCTCTCATCCTCTTATAAGGACACCCTCTCCTCACATCACTGGATTTAGGGTCTACCCTAATCCTTAATCCAAGAGTCTTAATTTAATTATATGGGCATAATTCTTGTTGACAAATAAGGTCACATTGAGAAGTAGTAGAAGAGCCAGGCGTTGGTGGTGCACGCCTTTAATCCCAGCACTTGGGAGGCAGAGGCAGGTGGATCTCTGTGAGTTCGAGACCAGCCTGGTCTACAAGAGCTAGTTACAGGACAGCCTCCAAAGCCACAGAGAAACCCTGTCTCAAAAAAAAAAAAAGTAGTAGAAGTTAAGACTTGCACAGTGTTTCGAGGAGGGGGCACCATTCAACACAATCATCCAATAAGAAGTAGTGCCTCTTTGCCTATCATTGCCACCTACCCAGCCACTTCCCTTTAGTTTTGGGTTTTAGGTTAGTTTCAGAATACTAAGAAGTATACAAAAAAAAATTCCCTGCAGATGCCTTGAGGCACCAGCTCTTTGCAAAGTCCAAATGCTGTAGGTATAGGGCCACATGCCATCACAGATGGCTGCCCAGCTGCTGACCAGAAACCTATACACAGCCATCATCATGGCCAAGGTCAGCCAGGCCAGACTTGTGGGACACAAACAATTTGCTGTGCTGGCCTTGGAACTCTTTCCAGAAGCTTCCTCCTTCCTTCTTTCCTGGAATTGCTTATTCCAGCACTGGAAGAGGATGTCTCTATGCACAATGGGGGAGGGATCTGCAGCAGGGACTACTGGGAAGCCTCCATCCTTCTAGACTTCTACCCTTCACACTGGGGTGACTCTAATCCAGGAGTGGCATGAAACAGACAGCTCCAGATGACCCAGGCCAAAGCTTTGGTTAAAACAGAGTAGGGTTTTATTGTCAGTCACAGCCTTGTTGGTGCTGACTTGGCAAATGAAGCCTGGCACAGAGCCACCTTCAAGACTAGGACTGTACCTTCACCCCACCTCGGGGCACTGTTGAGGTGACAATGGCATGCTAGACTTCCTGTAGTAGTAATTCAGAGACAACTCTTAGGTTGTTCCCATGAAATAGCATGAGGGTGGTGTGTTCCCAGAACAAAAGCAGGGATCCCACTGGCAGCTGAAAGGCCACTGGATAACAGCAACTGCCCCTGGTCTTGTCTGCTTTCCAGTGCCAACTGCAAACAGATGGTGGTACAAGCCAAACAGCCTCAGAACACCAGCCAGGGGCCCATAGCTCAGAGTCAGAACTTGAACCTTGGCCGGGACATTCCAACATTGCTGTGGTAGCAAAGGCTGAGAAACTGCTTGAGGTCTAGTTTAGTGCTCTATCCAAGGGAGTTATATTTACATTAAAGTTAAAGAATTAAGATTTAGTTTTTTAAATTATTATTAATAGACAGGGTCTCATTTAACCCAGACTGGCTTTGAACTCATTGCATATCAGATTTCAGTTATGAGCCACTGTGCCTGCCTTTTTATAGTCACTGTTTAGATGCCTTTGCATAATATTTTGTTCCAGTTAAATATAAATAAACATTTTCACCAGACGGTGATGTTGCACACCTTTAATCCTATCACTCTGGAGGCAGAGGCAGGTGGATCTGTGAATTCGAAGGCCATCCTGGTCTACAGAGTGAGTCCCAGGACAGCCAAGGCTACACAGAGAAACCTTGCCTCGAAAAACACAAATAAATAAATAGCTAAATAAATATAAAAATAAATAAACAAGCATTTTCAACATTTTAAAATGAAAATGAACATTTTGTGTGTACACATTATGTGTATACATAACCCAGGCTTGCTTTGTACTTGTAACTATCCTCCTATATCTGCCTCCTAAGTGCTGATATTACAGAGGCATGTACCACCACATCTGGCCTAAATTTTGAAAATAAACATTCTTTTTTTTTTCTGTACTTTGTTTAAATGAGCAATAAGATCTCAGGAATTTCAAGAACTTGAATTTTAAAAAAAAAAAGTCAATTCCTTTGGCCAAGGAGCTGGTTTAAGTGGGTAAAGGCACTTGATTAAAAACCTGACAACCTTAGCTTGATCCCCAGAAACCACATGGGGGAAGGAGAAAGTCGATTCTCAAAAGTCCTTTGATGTCCTCATACCTCCTGCTGTTGCATACTGCACACACACACACACACACACACACACACACACACACACACACACACACACACACACACACACCAGGGATCTTGCACCTTGGTCCAGCTGTGTATGTGGGGAGATAGGGAGACAGATTTTTTTGTGTGTGTGCTGGCATCTCAACAGGCTCCTGAGCATTTATCCAATGGAGCCCTGCAGAGGGGATGGTCTTGGGCTCTTTGCTTTCTGTTCTTAGCAAAACAGACTAGGAACAGAGAACAGAATTCTTTTTTTTTTTTTTTTTTTTTTTTTTTTTTTTAAACAGGGGAACTAGCTCTTGTAGACCAGGCTGGTCTCGAACTCACAGAGATCCGCCTGCCTCTGCCTCCCCAGTGCTGGGTTTAAAGGCATGCACCACCAATGCCAGGCTCAGGAACAGAATTCTTAGTGGATTTTGTAAGTTTATAGCTCAGAGACCTCTGACCTCAATGGATCCTCCAGTGGCCAAATGCCTTTGCTGGCTTAACACAAAGTTGGTCTCAGCTGGGCAGTATTGCCTTTAAACCTAGCACTCCGAAAGCAGATGCAGGCAGATCTCTGTGAATTTGAGGCCAGTCTGGTGTGAGTTCCAGGACAGCCAGGGCTACACAGAGAAACCCTGTCTCTTGAAAAGCAAACAAACAAATAAAAAAGAACGTTGGGGGTCTCATTAGCATTGTTAGAACCGCACAATTCTCAGGGCATCCAATGTAGCTTATTGGAACCGTCTCCAGAGCTTTGCCCCACTTGGGAGTCACCATTCTGGGCATTTTTTCGCAGTAGGGTGCTGAGCTGGATGCCAGGAAAGCAGATGGTGATGCACAGCATGCCTTAGCACACACACCCAGCCCCACTTCTGTAGAAAGACTTGGGGGACAGCTGGCAGAAAATATGGGGAAGAGAAAGGAGGAAACGTGATTAGGAAGGAAGAACACAAAGCTCAATTCAGTGAGAAAACTCTACAGCAGCAGGAATAGAGAAGCAGCCGCACTGCGAATTCTGGAACAGGCCTTAGTGGAGTGGGGCGGAGGGTTTAACTGGGTGTGTACAGGCCAAATGTGGTTTTCTGCAGGAAACTGCTGGGAACAGCAAGGGATGGGGGTGGGGACCAGTCAGCTTGTTGAAAAAATAAAAATGCTGGTCACGTGTGCATTCAACCCACTCAAAGAAGTGTCTGGGCTCCTCTTGCTAAGCCTGAGATGGGAGTGGGAGAGTGTTGTCTGCCTCTGTGGGTTCTAGCTCCTACAATTTGCAAGACCAAAACGAAGCTCTAGGATTTGGACAGGTAGAATGTTTGCTGTTCAAGGGCATCGGAAAAGGATGTTAGGTCGCCTGACGCACAGTGTCTCTGCTGGAGATCGTGTAGTGGGCACTGCAGATTTGTGGATGGTTACAGAAATGTGGCATCAGAGGTAATGCAAAAAGAGAAAGGTCCAAGGAAAGTCTGGTGCACAGAGTGCATGGAATAGGGTCGGTCCTGACACACCTGGGAGGCTATGGAACTGACCATGCACGTAGTCACCCGCGCTACCCAGACTTGGCAGGGATGGGTTCCCAAGACCCTCAGGCTGGACGCCACAGTGGTCGCATATGTGGACGTGATGTAGACTTCAGTGCGGGCACTAAGCCAGCCAGCCAGTAAGCCCGGAGCAGGCGACGCTCAGCAACACCACCAGGAGCCTTCGAGGATCTGACTCCACGATCCTGCAGCAGGCCAGACCCTGAGCAATCAGGAGACTGGCTGCACGAGCGGAAACAGACCCACGGCCACGCAGTACCGGGTCCGCGATCCCAGCACTGTCCCTACCCGCTCTCCTCCCTTCGCCACCTAGCCCACATCTACGAGGCTCCACCTCTAACCCCGCCCCCAACCATCTTGGTCCCGCCTCATCCCAGCATGCCGTGCGCATGGCATATAGGAAGCTGGCGTGGCGCAGCGATAGCTTGTAGCGGCCTGTGGGCGGGACTTCCGGCCCGATGGATCGTTTTCCGGCCGTGCTTGATGGGTCTGGCCGGTCTTCTGACATGAAGGTGAGCCCGGCGGCGACGCGTGCTACTTGGACTGCTTCTGCTTCCGCGTCATGATGCGGGAACGGCGGGCAGCGAGGCTGTCCCCGGACAGAGCGGGCAGAGTGTGAGCGGGAAGGACAGTGCGTGGATGAGCGCGGATGTGAGGGTGAGGGAGTAGGAGAAGAAGCGGGTTTGAGGGTGAGAACGATGTGTCAGTGTGAGAGTAAGCGAGTATGTGAGGAAGTGAGCCGATGGCGAGAACGAGAGGTAGTGTGAGGGCCGGAATGTGTGTGTCTGAGGGTATGTGTGAGGTGAGAACAGGTGTGAAGATGAATGAACTTACTAGGGTGAGAAAGAGTGTGAGGATAGGAGCGACTGTGTTCGTGTGAGCAAGGGTGAAGGAGTAAGTGCTAGGATGAGAGAAAGCGTGGCAGAGAATGCGACAATTGTTCTTGTGTAGAAGAAGGGTGAGGGCAAGTGCGTTAACGTGAGGGAACTGCAGAGCAAATAGTAATTTGAGAATATAAGACAGCACCAGTCATTGTACAGGAGCGAGAGCCAGAGGTGACGGTACATGACTCTAATCCTAGCACTTGGGAGGCAAAGGCAGACCGATGGATTTGTGAGTTCTAAGCCAGCCTGGTCTGCATAGTGAGTTTCATGACAACAGGGATACATAATGAAATCTTGTCTCAAAAAAGGGGGGTGGGAGGAGAACCAGCAGGAAGTGTGAGTGTAAATGTATGTGCCAGTGTGGCTGGGTATAGAGAAGCATGATGGATTAGTGATGTATAAAGGAGTGTAAACAAGAGCCAGTAAGTAAGGCAACGAAGTCAGAGATTTTAAGACATGTGAGTTAACGTGCATAACTTGTGGAGTAAGTAGTGGAAGATGATACGAGTGTGCAAACAAGTTAGTGTGGCCATAGTGGAGGCATGAGCTCAGTATGGTAGAATGGTAGCTGGTAGGCCCAGCCTGGGTTAGGAGGTTGTGTGGGTTCCTTCAAGTTTGCTGGGTGCATGAGATGCCTTACCCTCAGCACAGCCTCAAGTGTTAAATACACTGTGCTGGAAAATTTCCAAAAGACTTTCCACAGGTCACTAGACTGGAGCCCAGGGAGGCCAAGAGACAGTGTGCTTGTGACAGAGCTAAAACTGGAGACATCTTATAGCAGTCATGCTTGCATTGCCTTGTGCAGTTGGTCATGGTTTGGTAGCCACATGCCCCAAGTCTTGGTGGGCTGCCCCCTGCGTTGTTCTCTTCATCTGTGAATGGGAATAACATTGATGTCTGGGTCCTGAGCTGTGGAGAGAACTTGTGGGAAACTCACCAGGTTTGGCATGTAACATATGGTCAATAAATGTCACCTGGGGTTGTGATCATCTTGCTTCTTATGTCACCTTCATTTCCAATCATACACTCACCTACCTCCTCATATGAACAGTTTGCTCCAAAACTTTTCTTAGAAGTACAAATCTAGGATAACCATCGTACTTGTTGTAGAGCAGTGAATCTATTAAGAGTACTCAGAGGGCTGAAATGTGTTTGCTTAGTATTTGTGGAGCCCTGGGTTCAAACCTGGTACTAAGAAACTAATAATAGGTGGTGGCAGTAGCAGATACTCGGGGCACATCAGTCAGCATCCCCTAAGTCCCTCAGTACCAAAGCAGATCAATCTGAGGACCAAGGCCATTTTTTTGTTGTTATTGTTGTTTTGAGATAGGGTCTCATTGGCCAACCTGGCCTTGAACTCAGCTACATAGATACAACTCACCTTGTATTGTTTTGGTTTGGTTTTTGAGACCTTATTTCTGCTTCTATCTTCCGAATGCTGGCATCGCAGATGTAACCCACTCTGCCCAGTCTAAAGCTAATTCTTTCCTTATTTATTTATTTATTTATTGGTTTTCGAGACAGGATTTGGAGGCTATCCTGAAACTAGCTCTTGTAGACCAGGCTGTTCTCGAACTCACAGAGATCCGCCTGCCTCTGACTGCCTCTGCCTCCCGAGTACTGGGATTAAAGGCATGCACCACCAACGCCCTGCCCTTTTTTATTTTAAAAAATACTTCATTTTAATTTTATGTGTATTAGTGTTTTGCTGGTATATATATCTGTGTGAGGGTGTCAGATCCCCTGGAACTGGAGTTACAGTTATATGAACTGCCACGTGGGTGCTGGGAATTGAATTTTTTTTTTTTTTTTTTTTTTTTGCTGCTTCTTAAAAGAGAACTGAAGTTGACAATGTATCACAAAGTAGGGTTGACTCTGATTAGCTTCTTTAACTCTGCACACCCACAACAGATATATACACACGCTATGCATATGTTAATGCATTTTTTTTTTTTTTGTAGGAAGCATCTAACACTTCTTGCTTTGAATCTACTTAAGGAAGATTTGAAAGCCTCTTTGTCAGCCTCACTGAGACAGTCCTTCCAGTGAAATTTGTAGCCCCACAGTTTCAGGCAGAAACAGGTGGATCTCTGTGAGTTCGAGACCAGCCTGGTCTACAAGAGCTAGTTCCAGGACAGTCTCTAAAGCCACAGAGAAACCCTTTCTTGAAACTTCTCCCCCAAAAAAAGTTTGGTTTTTTTTTTTGTTTTGTTTTTTGTTTTTCTTTAGTACACATAGATGCTTGTGTCTGTGTGTGAGCCTGTGAGTGCAGGTGTTTGTAGAAATCATAATGGGGTGTCAGATCCCCTGGAGTTGGGATTATAGATGGTTGTACACACCCAGTGTGGATGCTGGGAACACAGTATGTGCTTTGCGTTGCTGAGCCATCTCCTCAGCACATCCCATCTCCCTTATTTTTGGCAATGGGTATTTGGGGTTGAATGCAGGGCCTCTTGCTTCCTCAGAAAGTGCTGAATTACTGAACTACATTCCCAGACGTTTTTTTCCTCCTCTTTTTATTTTGAGAAAGAGTCTTGATAAATAATCTAGGCTGGCTTAGAAGTCTATATATAGTACAGACAGACCTTAAACTTCAGATTCTTGAACTTTAAGTCCCAAGTAGTGGGGTTATAGGCCTGGCCCAGCAGGCTAGGTTCATTTCACCCTTTCTTCCTATAGCTATAAAGTCACAGGTCAGAGGATGAAGTGGTAGGCAGAGGAGCTTTTGACTGGGTGAACAGTGGTCCAACTGTAAGTCTAGGCAATAGGTGTTAGTAGAGACAAGATCACAGGGAACCTGCAACATACTCTCAGTCCTGGACTACTTTCCTCCGGCTTCTTCTTTCTTTCTGTGACCCAGTTCTTCACCCAAGGGAGAAGCCTTGCTTATGTAGGTTCAGAGGCTAAACACATCTCTGAGAACTAGGGTAGTCACAGCCTCAAACTGGCCAAGCAAGCTGTGGGTTTTTCTGGGCCACTGGTCCCAAGCCTATACTGTAGTCAGGATTTTCCATTCCCTAGAGCTATGGACCACAGCAATTAAGCTTCACAGTTGTGAAGTCAGGGTGGTGAGTTGGGGGAAAGTGAGACATAGAAAATTATCTCCTCCTAATTATTTTGTCATGGAGGAGAAACTGGTAGGAAGGGAGACCAAGGTGAGATTCATGGATCTTATCCCTCTAAACAGCCAGTTTTTAGAGCAGTCAGTGCCTTTGCTGGAGGTGTCAAGCAACCAGCATTATTTTATATACTCTACAGTTTTCTCCTAAGTCTTCAGAGCCTTGGGTCTAGGTTTTCTTGTGTTCTGCCAGTCTTCGAGTTATGGAATCTTCCTGTTTGCCTTACTCAAAGACCACATGTTAATCATAGTTGGTTGGTGTCCTGGGGGTGCCAAAGCTTGGAGGCTTTACTGCCACAATCCTAACTCTCTTCATGTCACACCAGGAGCAGTCTCAGGTAAGTGACAGCAGAGGGAAGCAGAAGGGAAACAAGCAGCCAGCCTAGGAGGTCCTAGGGATAGGTGGGCAGGTACTGGCATGGGCCTGACTCTAAGATGTTGTTATTGGCTTGAACCTTGCCTGGCTGCCTTTCCTAGAGCCTTTCAGCCTAGGTTCTGGCATGCTTAGGTGCTCTTGACCACAGGGGAAAACTGTATGCTCACCTGTTGGGCAGTGGGCTGGGTCAGTCTCCATAGAACCCTCCCTTTCTCTTGGTCTAGTAGACTGTGTGTTGTCAGAGACATGCAACTAGATGGGTACCCTTCTGCACACATTGCCTTGAAGTCCACGAGGGACTGACAGCCCACATGGGTCATGTTTAGCCAGAATTTCCTAGGACCTAAAAGTGAATTGTACCACTGATGAAAATTCAGTGCAGAAAATAAAGGTGAAAGGAAATGGCCAGCAGTTCCCTATCAGCTCCTGGTTTTGCTCCCCACATGCTTTCTTATGTGAGCACATGCACATAAAAACAAGACTGTTGGGCTAGGATGATGGTATATGCCTGTAGTCCTGTCACTTGGGAGGCTGAAGCAGGATGATCTTGAGTTGGAGACCAGCTGGGATGTTCCTACTACAAGATCCTGTCTCAAGCAAATGACGACAGACTGTGCTGCATAGATGCCTTTTTGTGGTGTTTTTGCAGTGATCACCATCATAGGCACCTCCATGTTTGTTTGTGTTCCTGTATCAGAAGTGCTGGGTCCCTAAGCTTGGTTCCTGAGTGTGGTACATCCTTGGAGTGGAACTTGTAAAAGGAAGGAAGTGTATGGTGGACAGTGTAGTATTTATGGCCACATTGTCATTCCAAGGGCTTTCCCAGCTGAAATTCCCACTTAACCCAAGAATTAGTTGTTTTCCCAGGAAGCATTCTTTGTAACCATTCTTTGTAACTGAGTGGAGACACCATCTTATGTTTTATCTGTGTTTGTTTCTTTCATTTTCTGGGGTTCTGGGTATCTCTATATTTGAAACCTGTATTTATAATGGGGCATTGGAATAATGGAATGTCTTTTGGAGTTATTTGTTTGCTTGCTTATTTTATCTATCTATCTATCTATCTATCTATCTATTTATTTTTGGTTTTTCGAGACAGGGTTTCTCTGTATAGCTTTGGAGCCTATCCTGGCACTCGCTCTGGAGACCAGGCTGGCCTCAAACTCAGAGAGGTCCGCCTGCCTCTGCCTCCCGAGTGCTGGGATTAAAGGCATGCGCCACCAACGCCCAGCCTGCTTGTTTATTTTGAGACAGAGTTTCATTTAGCAAACTGGCTTCCACATCCATCCCTGGCCTTGGAACTCCTAATCCTCCTGCCTCTACCCTCCAAGTTCTGGGTTACAGACATGTGCCACCGCACCTGGCTTTTTTGTTTGTAATATTTCTTTGATTGGTGGTAGTGGTGAATGCCTTTGATCCCAACACTCAGGAGGCAGAGGCAGGTGGATCTCTAATTCAAAGCCAGCCTGGTCTACAGAGTGAGTTCCAGGCCAGCCATGGCTATACAAAGAAACCCTGGCTAGTAAAACCAAAAAAAATTTTTTTCTTTGATTATTATGGATAGTTATGGGTAGAATTTGTCAAATGTGTCCCAAATAAGTTTTTTTTTCCTGACTAACTTGTCTTTAAATTTGCTTTTTATTTTCTAAATGCAAGTTTTACTTTGTTAAAATTTTGAGGCAGGGGCTTGCTATGTTGCCCAAGCTAGCCATAAACTCGTTGGGCTCGAGCAAGCTTTTTATTTCAGCCTCCCCAGTAGCTAAAACTGTAATAGACATCTAACATGGTGCCCTGCTTGGAAAGTTACACATTTTTAAAACTTTATTTTTATTTCATGTGCATTGGTGTTTTCGCCTGCATGTACATCTGTGTAAGGCTGTCAGATCCCCTGAAACTAGAGTTATAGACAATTGTGAGCTGCCATATAGGAGCTAGGAATTGAACCTGGGTCCTCTAGATAAGAAGTCAGAGCTAGCCAGGTAGAGGTGATGCACACCTTTAATCCCAGCACTCAGGAGGCAGAGGCAGGTGGATCTCTGAGTTGGAGGCCAACCTGGTCTACAGAGCAAGTTCCAGGACAGCCAGGGTTATACAGAGAAACCCTGTCTTGAAAAACAAACAAACAAATAAGAAAAGAAGTCAGGGCCCTTAACTGCTGAGTCATCTCTCCAGTCCTGAAAGTTACACATTTTAAAATATTAAACTCAGATGATATTTTCTCTTGCATTCTTTCTCCTTATTGGTGTACTTGGAAAAGGCTTCTCTACCCTGGGATTACATAAGTAGTTGTCCATAGTTTGTTCTAGCACCTTCTATGGCTTCATTATTTCACACTGAGGTTTCTTTGCTGCTGAGGTTTCTTTAGATTTGAGGGGAATGTGGGAGTCAGTTTTCCTAGTTGGTTGTTTGTGGTTGGGAAGACATCTTTTGAACAGCTTGAGGTTGTCCAATGGGACCTGGTGATCCAGGCAGGGAAATCTAGAAGTTCTAGAGATCAGGGCTGGCCTAATGGCCCTGAGGACATAAGCCCTATTAGAATAACTTTAGTTGTCTAGTTCATGCCATATCGCTGTGCTGGTCATCTGCCTTCATGTACTCCTTTCTTTCTGCAGCCCCCTGGACCTAGAGGTTGGTGCCTGCTGTGACACGCCCACCATGTGGCCACTTCTTCATGTCCTCTGGCTTGCTCTGGCCTGTGGCTCTGTTCACACCACCCTGTCAAAGTCAGATGCCAAAAAAGCTGCCTCAAAGTTGCTGCTGGAAAAGGTAGGGAACTTGAGGTGAACACAGCAGCTAAGAGCTAATCTGTCCTACCTGTCTGGGACCTTTGCGAATCAGGACACAGGAAGATCTTGACTCCTGGCTGCTTACTCAGCTTTCTGACAAACTAGTAGTGTGCCAGTAGGCAGCCTGTGTGATTCTGGGGATGAATCTTGCTGAGGCTGTTAGTTTACAGCCTCTGGAACTGGAGGCAACAGGCTCTTTGGTATCATTACCTTCCCTACTCAGACTCTGTATCCTGTGACAATTTCCATCTCCTGTCTGCTTTCACTATCCCATGGTTGTTGAATTTTCCCATCTTTATAGACCCAAACGGTGTTTCCATCATGGCCCCTTGTACTGTTCTTTTGGGACATTCCTAGGGATTGCAAACCCAAGTGTGGTCCCCCATCCAGCTCACTCCTTAGCATCAATAGTCCCTGTGCTGCTGGCCAGGCTACTGACACAGGACCACACCTATGACCCAGGCCTGGACTGATAGATGCTCTGTACTTTGGGGGCAGAGAACCCATACAGTGGGCATCTCTATCTGTGCTGGATGGTTGACATAAGCTAAAGTCATCTGAGAGGAGGGAACCTCAATTAAGAGAATGCTTCCAAAGGATCTGGTTATAAGCAAACCTGTAAGGCATTTTCTTAATTAGTAATTGATGGGGGAGGGCCCAGGTCATTGTGGGTGGTGCCATCCCTAGGATTGTGGTCCTGGGTTCTTTAAGAAAGCTGGCTGAACCATGATGAACAAACCAGTAAGCAGCACTCCTCCATGTCTTCTGCATCAGCTCCTGTCTAGTGGATGTTGCAGTGCAGGTGTGGGTTCACATAGGTCTGTGGAAAGAAAACTCAGAGACACTTTAAGAATGAATTTAGCCGGGCTGGAGAGATGGCTCAGAGGTTAAGAGCATTGACTGTTCTTCCAGAAGACCCGGGTTCAATTCCCAGCAACCACATGGTGGCTCATAACCACCTTGAAATGAGATCTGTTGCCCTCTTCTGGTGTGCAGATACACATGGAAGCAGAATGTTGTATACATAATAAATAAAATCTTAAAAAAAAAAAAAAAAAAGAATGAATTTAGCCATTGTGGCTACTGGGGACCTCATCTTCGGGGAACTGAAGTACATTCCCTATGCCCAGGGCATTTTTATTTTTCTCAATATTTATACTTTAGACAGTTGATTACCATATGCTCAGAACAACTTGAATGAGGCTTCCAAAAAGACAATGCCATGTGCAAAGACTTGATTCATCAGGTACTACAGTTTTCCAGGTTTCCTGAACCAAGTTTTACATAGACTTTGTATCCTTGGGAAACTCCCAAACAGGGTTCACACTGGGTGACAGAAGATATCCAGTCGGTCCGAGAATGGATTAGGCTATGTGCTAGCTCTCTGGAGCTAGGCCAGGTGTGTGACTAAGGCTAGTAGCTGCTATCACTGCAGCACCAGGCCAGCTGGATACTGCTACACTACTGCCTCCAGGTTCCTGCCCTGTTTGAGTTCCTGTTCTGACTTCCTTCAGTGATGAACTGTGATATGAAAGTGCAAGCCAAATAAACCCTTTCCTCCCCAAGTATCTTGGTTCATGGTGTTTCATCACAGCAATAGAAGCCCTAAGACACTGTGTCTCACAGGAAGTCAAACCAGGGAGTCAAACACTATCAGGGAAGGCTGCCATGGGTTTCCAAAGTGTGGACAGAACTTTCAAGGTGAGAACCTGATGGAGCAGAGGTGGGGTACTGATATCCATGTTGAGAGACTCAGATAGGACTTGGCCCATGGGATAGCATGTGCTTGACACACCTTCAGTGTATGGACATAGGGTGCCTAGATGCCCAGTGGTCTGAGGAGTCACTATAGCCTCCTGCCAAATCTCCAGCTCAAATTAAAAGTTGAATAGCCCCTGACAAATGGCTGCTGTGCTCACTGAGTGCCAGAGTCCTTCTGAAATAAGTCATCTACTGTGACCCTAATCCTCTACCCACAAGGTCATCAGATGAGCAATGCCATGTTAATCCAGAGACATGGCCTGTGGCTGAATGGAACAGACTGGCTGAATGGCCACTGCTGCTTCTGATGCCACATTCCATGCTGAGAACAGATGTCAGACAGCTCTCTTCTCTCCCTTTTGTTTCAGACTCAGTTTTCAGATAAACCTGTCCAAGATCGGGGTCTGGTGGTGACGGACGTCAAAGCTGAGGATGTGGTCCTTGAACATCGTAGCTACTGTTCAGCTAGGGCTCGGGAGAGAAACTTTGCTGGAGAGGTCCTAGGCTACGTCACTCCAGTAAGTCAGGGTTCTGTGGTGCTGAACAGGGCTGTCCTCCTGGCTGGTGTTTTCTCCCCAGCTGCTGCTACTGTGATACTGTAGGAGAGATGCTGGCATGAAGATGTCAAAGGGAAGGAGCTGGAGAGATAGCTGAGTGGTTAAGAGCACTGGTTGCTCTTCCAGAGGACCCAGGTTCAATCCCCAGCACCCACATGGCAGTTCAAAACTTATCTCCAGTCCCAGGGGATCTGATATCATCCTGTGACCTCTCTGGGCCCTGCACACATGTCACAAGCACAGACAAAACACTCCTACACATAATTTTTAGCTGGGCAATGATGGTACATGCCTTTAATCCCAGCACTTGGGAGTCAGAGGCAGGAGGATCTTCTACAGAGCTAGTTCCAGGACAGCCATGGCTATACAAGAAACCCTGTCACAAACAAACAAAAAGATGCCAGAGGGAAGGGTACCAGGGTTTTCTTGGGGCTTGCTTCTTGTGGCTTCAGGTGACCCCTATCAATCCCTCCTGAGTGTAAAGGGGGACTCTAGGGCTGTCTAGCTCAGGGTGGGGGCTTGTAGAGTCCTGGTGAAGGGACATTGGTACAGAGCCCAGGAGGTGGGTTACATACAGTCCCAGTAGCTTTGCAGAGTGGGAGAGGGAACCCCAGGCAGGGATTGATGGCAGCTCAAGTCCAGCACTGTTGATACTGATGGCTGTCCTGGGCACGTCCAAAGCAGCATGTGACAGCCGCATGGCAATGCGGGATACATTTACCTGTGCTTTGTCTCCGCTGTCTTCCTCTGCCAGTGGAACAGCCACGGCTATGATGTTGCCAAGGTCTTTGGGAGCAAGTTCACACAGATCTCACCAGTCTGGCTGCAGCTGAAGAGACGTGGTCGTGAGATGTTCGAAATCACAGGCCTCCATGATGTGGACCAAGGTTTTCCCACTTCTTTTTATCTGTGCTGCCCTGAGGGCTAGAAGAGTGTGCTAGTGTGCAGATGTGTCTGTGTGAGTATAAAAGTGCAGTGGGTGTGGGTGTCTGAGAGTGACTCTGGTTGTGTACTTTCTTTGTTTTGTTGTGAGACAGGGTTTCACTATGTAGCTCTGGCTGCCCTGGAACTCCAGGCTGGCCTTGAAATCACAAAGATCCACCTACCTCTGCCTCCCAAATGCTGGGTTATGTATTATGACTAGTGAATATTAGTATAAATATATATGAATATATTGGTTTTGACTCTGCTATTATAGGCCTATAATCCCTGCTACTCAGGAGGTTGAAGCAGGAGAATTACAAGTTCAAGGCCTATCTGTGTGTGACTCAAGATGTGATTATAGGAGTGTGACCATGAGAGATGTCAAGTGTGACTAGGTATGTAAGTGGGTATGAGTGTGATAGACATGTAGACTCTCACACCACATGGCTGGGCCCAGAGTGAAGCCTGGTGTGCAATGTGTGAAATATGGTCTGCCAGGTACAGATAGTCCCTTAGGTGGTCGCCACTGTGAGGTCCTCTGTGTGGTCAGCTATAGGAGATGAGAGGCTGTCCAGGAGATGACAGATTGAAGAGCACTGGGAATTTGTGCCCTCTCCTTATCTGACTCTAGTCCCAGGAGCTGTTCGTTGTTCCTTCTCTTGAATGTCAGGGCTGCATGTGAGTATAAAGAACGTAGTCTCTGAGGTGACTTGTGCAGCTGGGTGGTGAAGTGGTTGGCGCCCCTTTTTCTGTCTCTTCCTTAGTACTCTGAGTTTGGTGTTCCAAAAAGAAAGAGACTAGAGAAGGACAGTTCACTGATGACATGCTTTGGAGGGGGCCTGATCTACACATCTGAACCACATTTGGCTTCTGACAGAATTACAGGAGAGGGTTAGCTGGAATTCTGAGACCAGGAGTGGTTTTCCCCAGTGCTGTGAAGGTCCAAGAAAGATGATGGGAGGAAGGGACTGGGGGCAGGGAGAGGGAGTGGAGTAGAGTAGAGGAGGTAGAGAGTAGGCGTGCCTGTCAGGTTGCCCCTGGGCTAGGAGGGGAGTGAGTAATGGACTGGACGTATGATGTATACCGACTGTCCCTTTTATCTCTAACAGGGTGGATGCGAGCTGTCAAAAAGCATGCCAAAAGCCTGCGCATAGGTGAGTCCAGCAGGCCTGGGCATGGTCAGGAAAGCAGCCTCAGCCATACCATGTATATGGCACAACCTCCCTGAGGGTAGACCTAGGGTCCTTTTGTGTTCCTTCTAGTCTAGGCTATGCTACTTTAGGGTAAATCTCTCCTCTGAATGCTCTGAGCAGTCAGCTGAGCTTGGTCACCAACACAAGCACCTTCATACTTGGCTGGTGATTTTCCTGCATAGTTCTCTCTCTTCCTTCTCTCTTCCTGTCTAGTAAGCATTACTGAGTTTCCTGGAGCCAGACCCTAGGTTGGGCCTGCCTGGGGGTGACATTATCCCTACCTTTCCTATGCCTCTGAAGCTCACAGCCAGTATGGGAAGGAAATTTTTCCCAAAGAACAGCATGAACCTGAGGGCAACAGAGGAAGCTTATGGGACTCAGGCTCAGGGGAAACTACTGGAAGCTCAGAGCAATGGCAGGAGGGAACCTGTAGTTCAGGAGTGGAAACCATAGGTTAGAATGAGATGGACAGTGTAGCAACAGCAAGGATCCAGATGAACTGGGGTGTGGCCCAGCCAGTTTCCTGAAAGGTGGAGCTCTAGGGGTATTTGATATGTTAGCATCTCCTTGTCCCCTCCTTCCTCCTGCAAGGCTGTGTGGGTATAGGATAGCTGCACTGGATTCATGATTGCTTTGAATGGCCTCCCTGCTTGTTACTGCTCTGACTGGTCTGGGAGCCAAGGGGACACTTTTTTGCAGAAAACAAGCAACAGAGGATAATTCAGTGTTTCCTGGGCACAATCTTTCTGTGTGTTCTCTCCTGCTGCCAGTGCCTCGGCTTCTCTTTGAAGACTGGACTTACGATGATTTCCGGAATGTCTTAGACAGTGAGGATGAAATAGAAGAACTCAGCAAGACTGTGATACAGGTGGCAAAGGTGAGACCCGTGTGTTCCGCAGGGCCTCCAAGCTCAGATAAGGCTTAGAGCACAGGCCACCAGGTCCAACTTCCCCACAGGCTGCCAACTTTCCTACTTGTCTTGCTTTCCTCTCTGACTGAGGCTCCCAAAGGGCCCCACCTGGCTCCTCTTTCTTTTTTTCTTTTTCTTTTTCTTTTTTTTTTTTAACAGGGTTTCTCTAGGTAGCAGCCCTAGCTGTCTTGTAACTCCCTCTGTAGATCAGGCTGGCCTCAAACTCACAGAGATCCACCTGCCTCTGCTTCCTGAATGCTGGGGTTAAAGGTCTGTGCCACCATGCCCAGCTCCTCTTTTTTTTTTTTTTGTTTAACACATTTTTTTATTTTTGTGGGCATGTATGTAGAGAGTAAAATGGCACAACACATTTATAGAGGGCAGAGGACCACTTTCTGGAGTTATCCTTTCCTACCATGTGAATTCCAGGGATCAAACTCAGGTTTTCAGGCCTGGCAGAAAGTGCCCTTACCTGCTAAACTAACTTAGTGGTCTTTCTTTATTTAAATTTTTTGGGACAGTATCTCACATAGTCCAGACTTATGTTTTAATTTACTATGTAGCTGAGGCTGTGCCACAGACCACCCCAGCCAGGTATGGGTGTCCCTGGGATGAGAGTTCTCAAAGACTAGGTGAGTAAGGATTTGGCAGTGACAAACAGAAACAAACACAGAGGCAGTTTGAATCTGAGTGTATTTGCAGCTTTCAAGCAAGGCTTTTTATCCAGGATAAAACATAGCTTCTCAGAATTTGTGTTCATTGAAGCAAATCCAGATAGAACAAATGACATCATTGTTACTAGGCACAGTAACATACAACTTATCCAAGGCTAACAATAAATCAGGAAATCATTCAAGGCTAACCACAGCTAACTGCCTATTTTCTAAGATCAGGTTAGTAAATTTTTAAAGTCAGTTATTGTTTAACATTTGTTGCCTAGCTCTTGTGAATCTTTGAAATATTGAGCTATTTTGACTTTTTCTTATCAAAAAACTTTCTTTACCAAATATTTAAACCTATTCTCAATTATACATGTACAGCCATATGAAATTTTATTGTTGGGAAAGTTTTTATCAATACTATTTGTACTTCTATGAATGACATAAGCTCTGGTTTTCCTGGAGACAAGGTCATGGTCAGTGATCATGTCTAAGGGGATGGTTTCTCATTTATATTTTGTTTAAAATATCAGCATAGACTTTTAGGAACATTTCGTTAATCTGAGAAAAGAATAGAAGAACAGAGATTGCCATGAGAACTACAGCTCAATATTTTTCTCTAGCCGAGAGTTCCACAACCGTTTCCAGGAGATCTCCTTCTTTTGAAGTTACCACCTCAGTCTGTGGAGCTTGTCACACAGAATCTACTGGATTTAGTGTGGCAAGGCTGGCCTTGAACTTCTGATCCACCAGCCTCTACCTCCAGGGCTGAAATTACAGATAGAATGACTTGGCTCTTCTTGTTTCATGGATATCTTCTTGTGCAACCTGTGTCTTCCAGGGTGGATAGCATAAGCCTCACTCAGGCTGTACCACCTCTTGCTCATAGCTTTGGGAGTCCCAAAGGTGAGATAGTTTTTGTCTCTAGGGCCAGAAAGCTTCCTTTGGCTAAAACCCCGTAACTCTCCCTGGTGTGGGCCCATCCCTGCCTGGGCTACTGCAAGGGTGGAGAAGTATGGGCAGCTGAGCACCTCTGCCCTTGTGTCTGCTGTGGGGTACCTCCTCCCCATGCTGCCTGCTTGAGAGGAACTAACAAATGTGTAGTGCAGACTTAGGTCTTGCCTCATGAGTGATTGGGCTACTTTGTCAGGTGGGCAGAGCCTGTGGCATCTTTTCTGTCTTCCCTTAATCCTCCTAGATTCCCATTTCTCCTCACCTGCCTGTTTCTTTCAGAACCAGCATTTTGACGGTTTTGTGGTGGAAGTCTGGAGCCAGTTGCTGAGCCAGAAACATGTGTGAGTGGGAATGTGTATAGCTGCTTAGTTCTCTTTCTGGCCCTTATGTTTAGAGGAGCCAGAGGAAGGACCAAGGGAGAGGGACTCTGCCTGGGAGTGCTTTCCTTCCTCAGCATCTGGTCTCTGGGTTGGGGGATGAGACCCTGCAAAAGGTGGAGGCCTACTCAAAGAAGCCAGGAATAGCCATGGGGCAGGCAGCTTGTCCTGATCACATCACTGTGCTAGTCTGGAGGCTCCTCCTGAATGGCTAAAGGAAATGGGGGATCCTCACCCAAGAGGACTCAGTGAAAGAAGGATGGTCAGGTCTTTGCTGTAGATGTTCAGCTTGGACCAAGTAGAGATTTCCTCACTGAACACAAAGGAAACTCCCAGGGACATTGAAAATAGGCTGATCAAGTGTGGCCAAGACCTGGGGTATGATGGTTACAGTGTCTACTGGGGAAAGAATGTCCAAGAGCATGGGAATTGTCCACTGTGGGGAGGCTGCAGAAGGCCCTCATGTCTCCTTGCTACCATAGTACCAGCCAGCAGATAACACATCTTAAATTCACAGGATCCTACCACCCTTTGTTAGTTAGACCAGGAAGAGAGAGAATCGTGGGAAAGTGCCAGCAGCTCCAACATAGCTGGAGGCTGATCATAGCAGTGAGGTCAGCCCTCCTTGATCCCCTCCTTGATCCTTAGCTCAGGCTCTTTGGCTAACCTGAAGCAGTTACCTTTTCTAGCTCTGCCAGATTGGGAGTTCTGCCCTATAGAAGATGACACAAGAACATTTTGACCTGCAAAGGGCTGGTGCTGTCTATGAGCACCCTCAGGAGAGGTTTGTGCTGCCCATAGCAGGTGTTTGGGCAGTAGAGGAGTCAGCTCCACTTCCTCTTCCTGCATAGGAGAGTTCCACTTATGCTTTCTAAGCCACGTCTCAGAAGTGGCTGAGCAGTTGTCTTCACCTTTACTGTCTCACAAGGTTCTGGGCTCCCTCCTCTGTGTTGCTCTTAGAGGCTTTGCAGAAGACTGTAGGTCTCAACTCTGCCCACTTGGAGGCAGCATCCCCACACAACTTTCCTATGGTCTTCAAGGGAGGTTCTGGTTCAGATGTAGGGGTGGGAATGAAGAGGTTATTTGATGAAGGGATGTCCAGATCCTCCATTCTGAGAGCCCAGAGGAAGGTATGCCTAGAGCCAGGTGTGCCTGGGCTTTGCCCTTGATGAAAGACCCCATCCAGGGGACACCGCAGCAGGAGAAGTGTGTTCCTGAGTTAGTGGGGAACCTTCTGCTGGTGGTGCCCCAGACTATCAGCCATGTGACATCTCCAGGCCCAGCTTTGTGTCCTTGCTGGTGGGCAAAGGGCCCCACCAAAGCTGGCTGTGCTGCCAGCCATCCCTTCTTTTAATTCTGGAGACTACAGATCTATTAGTCAGAGTTTCGCTATAATTTATTTGTGTTTCAGCACATTAAGTAGACAGCAAGACACAGCTGCATTGTGTCTGGGCTCCCAATGGCTCTTTAATATCAGACAGAGAGGTCTAGGGGTGGGAGTTTTAGCGTCTGCAGTAGGAGAGGAGGTGGAGGTAGGAGCAACCTACATGGGTCTTTGTGCTCAGGAGACAGTGGAGAGCTGTTTGCAGAGCAGTAATGGGCCTGCGGCATAGGTAGTGGCCAGGCTCCTCAGCAGAAAAAGCTGTGATTCCTTTGAACACTGCTCCAAGGATGAACCCGGTTGTGGTAAGACACAATGGGAATATTTAAGGAAACTACTGCTTTGGTTGCCATTTCCTACCTCTCACTATTATAGGTGTCTATCTTGGGTTTGAAGAGCTAAGTCAGCGTGTTTGGTACATATGTGTTTGCCCTTCATCCAAAGGACCCATGACTCTCTGTCTCAGGAGACAGCCCGTTGCCCAGCTTTCCTAGAGCATAGTGGATATGTCAAGGAACTGTGTGACTCATCTCTGAAAACTTTTCTTCAGATTGCCATCTGTCACAATTATCTGCTCATAGGCAGAAGCTGCTAGATGTGGCAGGCGAGGCTATGCAGGTAGCCTTCGGGGCCATCTAGTTTCAAGTACCTATGAGAACAGGGCCTGCCTTAGGCAGCTGCTCTTCTTAGGTTCCCCACCAAAGGGTCTTCAGGGACAGAGCCAAACTCCTGATCCCCATGAAGTACCAGTTAATTTGAACCCCTAAACTAGGTAGCACTATGGGCAGTAGTCTGGCTTTAGCCAGCCCTAATCAGGAATTAAATCCATTTCCAGGGCTCATCTCAGTAAACACCACAGGTCTTATAGTAGTAATGTCCCCCAAAGTATGGATAGCAACAGTGACATAGGAAGTGGTGGTCATTGGAGGCAGCAGTAGATTTTTGGGTATGTCAACTCTGTGGTCACCTTGTCTCTGGAAGATGCTGGTCCTTCAGTAAGGTGGAAGAGAGACTGCTAACCAAGTTCCTATTTTCTGTGCCCCACCCCAAACTGGTCTCATCGAAGTGTACCATCCCTAAAGCTGGGCTCAGTGGCTTCTGATCACATGCATTAGCCATTACTAGTTCCAGGCTCAGAGACAGGCAAGTCCTTTATGAGGACACTACTGCTGCCAGTTCCACTAGAACTCTGTGGGGTACTCTTATAGAGTCCCTGCATCCAGAGTGACCGTAGTGTGGGCCCTTGAGAGGTAGGCTCATACTTGTCTTCTGAAAGCAGTCTTCTGAAAGCTCCTGGAGCAGTCTTAGGCACCTCGTAGTCCTTAGGTCTTATATGTCCTTGAAAAAGATTATCCTGCTATTTGTCCTCAGTCAGGGAGCAGGGTCCTCTTTGGTGGAGTTGGCTTTCCATATTCCTGGGTTTCTGGCACTTCCAAAACAGACAGCATTCTCCTGGTCCACCTGCATAAGTGATGTATAGGTAGGCAACAAGCCACTGAAGTGTGAGAATGGGCTGCCCCAAAACTCTGTATCATACTTGTATTGCCACCTGCAACCTGCAAAGTGTATACCAGCCCAAAGAAGGACAGACAATTGGGGCTTAAGTGCCCTTAGCCCCTCATGGCTAGAGTTGCACTAGAATCACTGATACTCAGATTGAAAAACTATACATTGGGCTGGAGAGATGGCTCAGGGGTTAAGAGCACTGCCCATTCTTCCAGAGGTCCTGAGTTCAATTACTAGCAACCACATGGTGGCTCCCAACCATCTGTAATGTAGTCTGGTGCCCTCTCCTGGCCTGCAGGGACACATGCAGGCAGAACATTGTATACATAATAAATAAATAAATCTTTAAAAAAATTTTTTTAAAAAGAAAAATTATGCATCAATTTGAGCCACATCAGAGAGACCAAAGCCATTGCTGTCCAGTAGTTGGCCACTGAGAGGACTCTAGACTGTTTGTAGAGATATACAAGGGACAGGTATAGTGGCCAATAGGGCACTCAGCTTTAGCCCTGCAAGTGTAGAACTTGTCAACCTGTCTGCCAATGGAGCTGTTCCCAAGGGTCCAGCTGTATGAGAAGAAGGCCTCCTTTACACAACAACAGTAGAATCTCCCTGAGTTGCGTTGGGCCAACTCCTTTAAGATGGCCACATTCAGGGAAGCAGCTAGTGTTAAACATGTCATGAACAATCCATTAGAGGGGTAAGGAGTGGGCTCCCAGGCCATGTGCAGAGAGAAGGGAATTATACCATCAGCTGTCTCCTTCACCTTTTTGTTTTGTTCCCTCATCTCTTGCCTCCTGTTCTGCTGGTATCTACTCCTGGTGTCCTACCAGGGCCCCTACCTGGTATTTTGTTCAAAGTGTTTTGTGGTGTTGCTTAGCCTGAAGGTGTCTAGGATTCCTCTGGGTCAGTGTTCTAGGCCCTTAAGTGACCCAAAAACACTCATTCTCTAGGGATACCCAAGTACGAAGAAAGGCAGGCTCATCTTGGATGCAGAGTCTCCTTTTCTTCAGTCCCTATATGGGTTATCACTGAAGGGTGGTGTGGGAAACCCTGTGAAAGGACTTATAGTTCTGCAACAGGGCCTAAGGCTGGGACTTAAGCTGTTATGTTCTTAAAGCAGTGGGTGCCAGGGAGCCCCACAGTGCCCTAGGCTAACCTTGATTCTTGGTTCTTTCAGAGGCCTCATCCACATGCTTACTCACTTGGCTGAGGCGCTGCACCAGGCCAGGCTGCTAGCCATTCTGGTCATCCCACCTGCTGTCACCCCTGGGTAAGTGCACTCTAAGGTTGGAAAACAATTACTCAAGGGCCCACCTCTCTCATCAGCATGAGCTCCCTTCTCAAAAAAAAAAAAAATCTTTGGATGCTAATTACCTTACCTTCTGCTTGGGTTGTGGGGTGGGAGAAGCTGACTGGTTATCTGTCTCTGGGGTTCCCAGGCACTAAGTTCAGTGCTTAGGCTGTCAATACTTGCTATGCCTATGGCATATTACACTATAGCTAGGCAAGCTGCTGCCAACTGGGGCTACTGAATGGACCTGGGCCTTTGTTCCAGACTCTAGCTCTTTACCATTCCCAGCCCTGGGAGGCATCTCTTTTAGAACCTTTGGGGCAAGATGTAGTGACCTGGGTGGAGCCCAGCTTGATAGATTCCCATGTCCACCCAGCCTAGAACATCTTATAGAAATCACCAGTGTTGGCTTAGAAATAACAATACTGGGCCATAGGAGACTTAGAATCACCTGAGGGTAGACCTGGGGCACAGCAGACGGAAGCAGGTATGGGACAGGAAGAAGAGGTAGAACTATTGGGTACAAGTTCTGGGAATCTTTCTGGTATCCACTAGCTTCCATGGGCAGCCCTATCTATTTGGCCTTTAACCCCACAGATGGATGCTGAGCTCCCTGACCCATACATTAAAAGAAAGCATCCTTCTCTTTGGTTATCTGTAAGCCTTCAGCTATCTGAAATAACAGTAGCTGGATGTGGTTAGATATGCCTCCAGGGCCTGTGGTATATCACTGGCAGGCTAATGGATGCTTATAAAAGAAATGACTTGTGCCTTGCATGTTGGTGCATCCCTTTAATCCAAGCACTTGGGTAGTGAAAACGGACAGATCTCTGTGAGTTCAAAGTGAATCTTGTCTACATAGCAAGTTCTAGACTAGCCAGGGCTACACAGTGAGATGTTGTCTCAAAAAAAAAAAAAAAAAAAAAAAAAAAAAAAAAAAAAAAAAAAGACGAGTTAATGTAGCATCTGCAAGGTGCTTAAGCAGCAGATACAGACACTAGTCGTTGGAGAACCATTGTTCACCTAGTGCTACCTGTCCCTATTAATGATGCTACTCAAGAAGTTCAACACTTAAGACCCACCTGCTCAAGGTGGTTTTCCCATCCCAACCTTGAGGGTTCCAAGGCCATTTGTATGGCCTGGATATCTGCCTGACTTTTCTTCCTAAAATTCTCTCAGCTCTCAGTCCATTAGTAAGGACTGTTGAGCACAGCTGCAGGCTCTCCACATTGATTTCAAGCCCATCCCAGGAGTCCTGATCCAGGGTGCCATGGGCTCTGGTACATCTAGGTAGGTACCTAGAAAGTAGAAAGCATCAGGACTGTCTGACACTGCCCAGGATTGAGCTCTAGTGATTGAGCACTAGGTGACATGGGGTAAGTCTTCAGCAGTTAGTGTTCATGTCAATTGCCCAAGCATGTAGCAGGTGCTACATTAACTCATCACTTTTTTAAAATTTGAGACAGCATCTCACTGTGTAGCCCTGGCTGGCCTGGAGCTCACCATACATAGAAGGCTATGTTTTTATGTGTGTGGTGGAGCTCTGTTTTATTCGTCCTAAGTCTTTTGCTTGGTGTTGCGCAGAGATGCTCCTCATTCCTGCCTGGGACTCAGCTCTGAGGACCCCTCCCTACTAGCACCTCTCTTTACTGTGTCTGCTGAGCTGACCACAGGATGCTAGGTGAGGAGGTATCCATCTTTGCCTTGGTCCATCCCAGGCCTGATCTGCACCCACCTATAGCTCAGTGACCCTACCCTTGCCAGTGAGAGAAACCCAAGTCAGGGGTTTGTCTGGGGATTGGGGCCTGTGTTATTCTCCAAGCTGCATCTTTGTGTAAAGCACTCAGACTATCTGACGACCTGGTCCCTGAGCTTGCCTAGGGCTGGTGAGAGTGTAGGAGAATGGATATTTTCTTCCTCAGCTGAACACGCAATCTTGCAGACCCAGGGGAGAAGAGGCAGCCGGGGGGGGCCAAAGTCTCTCAGAAGGGTCTCCAGAGCTGTGGTCTCAGCTGCTTCCAGGTGCTTGTTTCTAGATCTCTGGGTATAATGTTGTGTGGGATGCCATAGCTGTGTGGAAACTTAGAGTGGATATTTCAGAAGCCTGGGGCAGTTGATGAGGCTGTGGAAGCTGTCCTCGGATTCTGGTCAGGGTTAGGGTGCCACCCAAACCCCCAGTCCTTTGCTGGAAGTGGGCTATGGAAGCCGAGACCAGCTCCACCACTGGCTTTGCAGTGACTAAGGCACACAGTTCACCTTATGTGGCCATGGAGAGAGGGATTCTGGAGGGTACCCAGAGGGAGAAGGACATCTGAAATGACTGGAAAAAGGACCAAGAGGCAGTAAGAGTCCGAGGGGAAGCAGGGCCCTGAGCTGGTTGAGGAGCTACGGGTTTGGGGGTGAACTCTTCTGCCTTGAGTGCAGTGGGGTACTAGACCCCTCGGTTTCTGTGGAGGCTGTTGGTAGTACTCCAGGGCATAGGGGTGGGTTTTTTTGCCCTCTTTGTTTGTACTTCTCCCACCCTTTGCTAGAAAGCCACCTCTGCAAGAGAGCCCAGTCAGCAACTGCCCTGCATCTTCAGCAGGACACAGTTATGTTATAATTCACCTCACAAAGGCTGCTCTGGGAAGATACAGCTCTGGTGTGTGGGCAGGGCGGGGGGGATGGCTTCTAGTCATCAAATGAAATTCACTTATATCCTTTGTCATCAAAGTCAGGTTAAGTCAGAGCTGCTAGGGCTGGCCTCCAGCTGGGCTACCACAACACTGGAGAGTATTGGGGTCTTGCCCTAGAATTGGGCAGGTATTCAGCCATGCTGACCTTGAACACATCTTCCAAAATAACCTGGGTGCACTCAGGAATATAAAAACCAGGGCAGAGTGGCAGCCTTGAAGACCTAGTTCAGTTAGATTCCCCAGACCTGCAGGGGCCAGCAAGACACCATCCTTGGGACATAGGAGATAGTAGATCTGCTTCTAGCTAGCTTCTTGTGTTTCTCAGGGGCCAGTAACATACTGTCCAGAGTGGTGGTGAGAGGTGTGGCAAGGTAAATGTCGGGCCAACCTCCAACTGACCCTTCACATTTCCCTTGCTTCTTTACCTACTGGGACCTCTTAGGTTGATTACAGAGACCATAGGAAGAACAAGGCCAGGCAAGATGGGCAATAAACCTGCAATAAACATCCATTCAGTTGTCCTAGAAGAAGTTGGATAGGGAGTTGGCTAACCTCCAAGGGCATGGAGAAACAGGAGTCAGAGGAGGCTGGGGTCACAGGGGCAAGGGCAGGAGGGTTCAGAGGAAAGCTGTGGGTCAGCTCCAGGAGGGGTTGTCCTTAAGTCTGCACCTTCTGTCTGTCTGTAACTCCAATGTGGAGCTGCCAACTATAGATGTTATCAATGGGGCACTGAAGGAGGGAGGCACACACCCTGTTAGCTGAAGCACAAGGGACAAAGGTTTGTGTATTGGACTCTGCAGAGTAGGAAAGGGTGCTGCATTGCTCAGATAAGGTGGCCCTGGGGCGTGATTAAGAGCCCTTCTGACTCCCCTGAGGTTGCAGGTAATAGTTGAATGAGGCTGGTGGTTCCATAGCTGCATGCCCTCATTATCTCTCACAGTGTTCACGAGCAACTTCTTTTATTTATTTGTTTGGTTTTTGAGGTAGGGTTTCTTTGTGTGCCTTGGCTGTCCTAGAACTAGCTCTGTAAACCAGGCTGTCCTTGAACTCACAGATCTGCCTGTCTCTACCTCCTGAGCGCTGGTATTAAAGGTGTGCACCACCACACCTGGTTTATCATGAGTAATTTCTGCAGGCTGCAGCTGCACTGTGTACCCCAGCACCCATTTGGACTTTTTCCCTAGTTGCAGGGTGTCTGAATAAAGGGGCACATGACTGGAAGGTCCTAGCTCAATGCCATTACAATCCTGTTCTCTGGAGAAGAGAGGCAGTAATCACTGAAAAGAAAGAGTGGCCTGAGGATTACCCCATCTTAAGCCCTTAGTGGGCACTTAAAAGTGTCTCATTGCTGGCACTGGATTCCTTCCTTCTTTGCTATCACCTGCATAGGTCCTGTCCAGGCCCCAGGCACTGACTGTGATGTGTTTTGTTATATTGTGTCCCTTAGAAATCAATTCAGAACATGAGGTTTTTAGTATGCGTAGTAATTTCTGTTTATTGGAAGTCATGCCTGTTGACAAGCTGTTCTTATGTCTCTCAAGCGTGTATGTCTCTCTTTTGTCCTGGTGCTGTGATCAAAGAGAAATAGCTAGTGGCTAGGCTTCCCAGGGTTCTGAGGCAGGACAGGCTGGGAAAAGATGGCTCTAGCAACAGCTTCTGCATAGCCTTTCTTCCTCAAAGGCTATGCAGTACAGCTAGAGGTAGGCTCAGAAAGGTGTGGCTGAAGTCTGCAGGATGTTGAGGCCTAGAAAGCTCTAAGCAGAGCAGCTACACCTGGAAAAGTCCCACACAAGGATCTGTAGTCTCACTGAATGCTGGGAAAGAACACTTATCCCTGAAGTCTTTCAGCAGTATCAGCCAACCCCCAGACACTCACCATGAAGAAAAGCAGGCCTCTAGCAAAGGAAGGCTACTACATAGACATTTGTGTCTTGCACAGGGAGGTGGCATGGATCCTCTCTGAAGGTTTCCAGAAGAACCTCTTCCCTGCTAAATGACACTGGCTGGCTGCCAGTGCACTCTGACCCCAGGCCAGAAGCTCAGAGCGAACTGTAGACAAGGACTAGTCAAAGTAGACAGTATCGGCTGTCTGCTGTGGCATGGGGTTTTGAAGCCTTAAAGCCCATTCTCAGTGTTGAACCTCCTCCAACAAGACCACCGGCTAATCCTTCCCAAACAGTTCAACTAACTGGTGACTAAATCTTCAAATATATGAGCCTGTATATGAAGGGGTCCTTCTCATTTTAGCGACTACAGAGCCCTTATCATGTTTCTAGATTGGATGTTTGGGCCCCATTTGATTGGGAGCAGGAGTAAGAGCAACTGCTTATCCATGTCTAGGCAACAAGGACCTTCATGAATCTGTCCTGTTTCATATATTCCCCACTATGGAATGATTCTACACAGGGCTGGGTCCCAGGTACGTTATATAGCTCTTGCCCCCCTTTCTCTCAGAGCCTTCTAAGGGCAAGGAAATAGGGACATCTCTGACTTCAGCCCTTATCCTAGCACCTGGGGACCTGGAGTGTGTAGCCCCAGCCAAATAGCATACTGCCTCTATTCCTGAGGGAAAGTAGCTCAGGCTCCTCTTAGAGGGAAGAGAAGGGTTACAGGCTGGGATCCTAGATAGCATGCTTGATCTGACTCTGACTGGGGAAGGCCATACATAGTAACCCAATGTAGGTGTGCTTGTCTTGTGACAGGACTGACCAGCTGGGAATGTTCACACACAAGGAGTTTGAACAACTGGCCCCTGTACTAGATGGCTTCAGCCTCATGACATATGACTACTCCACATCACAGCAGTGAGTATGGGCTGGTAGGGTACTGTAGGTATAGTGAGTCTTCAGGAAGACATAGACCCGCACCTTGGTCTCTCAAGCCGACATCTGCCTATGGTCTCTGTAGCTCAGCATAGATAGACAGTCACTTTCTCTGCACCTGAAAGATGCCAGATAGAAGCTGATGGTGTTGTACCTGTCCCATTCTCGGGAGAGGTGATTCTTTGGGAAGTCTCTCCCTGGGTGGAGCTTTGTTACCAGTGACAGAGGCAGAGTATGTCTGCTACTTACGTTTTCCTTGGGCCTTGGCCCCAGCTGCATGTCCACTGACCCTTCTTTGCCCAGTATTTTAGACCTGTTCCTACTGCTCTAGGGCTGGGCAGGTTATACATTCGTACTGTGTACCATTCAAGGCACCTGTGGGTCCCATCAAAAAGTTTTTGGGCCACTTTGCCTATGATACTTCAATGATATGTCTATGGTTTTGCCCCATTAAAAAAAATTGTAACATGGGTCGGGTGGTGGAGGTGCACGCCTTTAATCCCAGCACTTAGGAGACAGAGACAGGCTGATCTCTGTGAGTTTAAGGCCGCCCCGGTCTACAGAGTGAGTTCCAGGACAGCCAGGGCTCTTAACAGAGAAACCCTCTTTCAAAAAACAACAACAAAAATGTAATGTGTTTAGTGTCTCATTTTTCTAAGATTTATTTTGTTATTTTTAATTATACATACATGTATCTCTGTGTGAATAAGCATGTGTGTGGATTCTCAAGGAGCCCAGAGGTGTTGGATATGCTGGAGTTGGAGTTTTGGGTACTTGTAAGCCTCTGGATGTGGCTGCTGGGAACTGAACTCACGTCCTCTGCAAGAGCAGTGTAAGCTCTTAACTGCTGAGCTACCTCTCCAGCCCTGTTTTTGTTTGTTTGTTTGTTTTGTTTTGTTTTGTTTGTTTGTTTTTGTTTTTTTGTTTTTTTTTTTGCATTGGGTCTCATTTTATATTACCAGACTGGTCTTGAACTCACTTTATGCTGAGGCTGGCCTTATACTTGTAGCAGATGTGTGCCACCATGTCCAACTTCTTCCCAACTCTTTTGTTTTGTTTTGTTTTGTTTTGTTTTTAAAGATAGTGTTTCTCTGTGTAGCCCTGGCTGTCCTGACGCTCACCATGTAGACTGGGCTGGCCTTGAGCTCACAGAGATCTCCCTGCCTCTGCCTCCTGTGCTGGGATTAGAGGTGTGTGCCATTACACCTGGCTCCTCAGTTCTTGAGAGGCATTTGCCATAACACAGAAGGAATTGGGCCCAAGTTGATAACCTAGAGGACCAGACTGGAGTCAGACACAGGGCTTCCTGCCAGCTGCTAAGAGTAACCACATTCTCCATTGAACTTGCAGTCCTGGCCCTAATGCTCCATTGTCATGGATTAGAGCCTGTGTCCAGGTCCTAGACCCCAAGTCACAGTGGCGAAGCAAGATCCTCCTGGGACTGAACTTCTATGGCATGGATTATGCAGCCTCCAAGGATGCCCGTGAAATTGTCATTGGGCCCAGGTAAGCCCAGGGCCCTCCAGGTCACATTCCAGGTGTGGCCAGTCATAGAGGTGTAGATTTCAATTCCTGGGAAAAGGGAAAAAGCTGGGACTGAGAAGGTCAGGGGGTAGGTCCTTTTGGACTTTGCAGACTATGAGGTCTGAGATAGGGTTGAATAGAAAGCCCCAGTTCTCTGTTGGACACACACCCCGGGCCCATGAGGCTAGCACCTCCCCCACAGTGTTGGTGCTATAACCAAGGTCTGCATCCATGGTGCAGTTGTCCTGCTATTGGGGAGAGGGTTGGACATGACTGGCTGGGCTCAACATGGTTTCTTAGTGCATGGTTTCTCTGGGCGGCCCCTGTGTCGTCATGTGGGCCTGGCCAGGACTGGTTCCTCCTTTTCTGGTCCCATCATTTCCTCCCCTGAGAGTCTCCTCCAACATCTTGGCTCTGTGGTTTCAATAGTGTGAGCCCAAGCATCGCTGTGTTTTAAAGTATTGCTTCCACTTTCTCCCTCTGCTTTTCCTCTTGGCTCATCTCCCTACTCCCACCAAGCTTCAGAACTAGCTGTTGGGTTTCAGCTCTTTGATCACCTCAGTCTGTGTCACCTGTGCTGTGTTCATTGAGCTCTCCATGGACTGTACACTCACACTTTTTTTTTCCTCTTTTGAGACAGGGTTTCTCTGTGTAGCCCTGGCTGCCCTGGAACTTTCTCTGTAGACCAGGCTGGCCTCAAACTCAGAGATCCACCTGCCTCTGCCTCCCAAATGCTGTGATTGAAGTCCTATGCCACCATCACCTAGCCACACACACACTTTTTGCCAGGTTTGGAAAGCATTTGGTAGTTTTCTCTTCTTTCTTCCTCCCTCTCCGCTCCCTCAGACAAGAATGTGTGTGGCGTGTACTGGCCTGGTTAGATTGCCCCTTGGCTCCTGAGATGTGTTAGACTTTAGATGTTTTTCTTTTGATCTTGGTTGCTTTCTCTTGCTGTCTCTGAAGCTGGTTTCTTGTGTCATTCCCTCTGCACCCCAGTTCTTTTTGTCTCACATCTGAGTTTTCTAGTTCTGTGTTTTAAAGTATTGCTTCCACTTTCTCCCTCTGCTTTTCCTGTGTACTCATCTCCCCACTCCCACCAAACTTCAGAACTAGCTGTTGGGTTTCAGCTCTTTGATCACCTCAGTCTGTGTCACCTGTGACAGCGTGATCTATGTAGCAAGTTCCAGACCAGCCAGGGATACTTACTGAGATCCTATTTCAAACAAAGAGAAGCCATTTAAACTATTCATTTTGCTAGTGGTTTTCCATGGAGAATGCTGTCCAGAAACTGAGATTTGGTTGTCATCGCCCACTGGGTGCAGCTTTCCTGGGGGTTTCTTGCAGTTAAGAGGGAAAGCTGGAATACCTCTCTGCCACCCCTGGTTGTTTGTATTTTGTGGAGGTATACTCATCAAAGCTGAGACTGCCTCTCATCCAACTCCTCTTCAGTTGGTCTCTCCATGGTGAGGCATTAGGGTGGGCCATGCTCCAAAGCAATGGATGGGAGTCCTGTCTTCCCTATACTCTTGTATATCCATACAACTGGTCACAGCATTGGGGGTTCATCACAGACTTGAGTTCTCCTGGCCCACAGTGCTGCTGGCCTTGCTTCGTGTCCTGAGCTGAGGTCTAATAGCAGACAAGGTAGGGCAAGGGTGCTGACTAAGAAGGACCCTGCACATGGCAAACGGGGCAGAGAAAGTGGGAAGCTGGTCAGGGCCTTGGTGGCTGGCTACTTGCTGTTTTCCAGTAGATTGTTTGGAAGTCAGCCCCTCACAGCTATGTCCGATGCCTGAAGATATGTGTGACAGGAACTAGACATGGGTTGCCACACAGGTGACGACTACTGCTGCTCCACTTAGGAGCACACATATTTACACAGTCTGTTCTTAGCCTCCTGGCCCATCAGGATTTGCCCAGCTAGGAAGGAAGGCACTACCTCTAATTCCTCATCTTGCTAATGGCTCCTGTGAGGCTAGATGAGGGCATGTATGCTCCAGCCTGGACATGGGCCTACCCAAGGGAGACAATTAGGCAAAGAAAGTGCTTTCCTGAGGCTAGGCCTGGCCAGCTGATTGCTTTTCCAGCCTGCTCGTGCAGAAAGATGCTGCCTTCCCAGCCTCACCTTGCCAGGGCTGCAATAATGTAGATGCCCACTCAGCAGGGCCACTTTCCCCAAGGCTGGAATAAATAACCAGCCAGACTTACCTCACACAGCCATCCTCATGGCTACAGAGTAGCCAGAGCACTGTCCCTCCACAGCTGACTCCTGCCTTAAGGTTCTTATCAAGGAGCATGTGCTCCTCACCTTGGTTCTGGTCTATGGGGCTGACTTGCAAGAAGAGAGACCTAGGACACAGCAAGAATGCCCCACAGGCCCTGCTGCCCATGGGTAGTTTTATGCTTAGTGACTGCTAGAGCCTTTGCTTGGGAAATCTCTGGTTCAGGACTCCACAGCTCTGGCTACTCACTTGTTTCCAGGCTTTCAGATCCACAGAATGCCCTTCCGGATCTTGCCTCACCCCCAATAACATCTGACCCCTTCCTGTGACAAGCTTCCTATGCTTACGCCTTACCCCACCTCCTAGAACCTCCCCCTTTATACCCCCATGGTCATGCTTCAGCTGTGTGGTGTCCACTCCTGACTCAGAATTCAGCTTTCTAGGGGCACAGGGCAGTGCCTGAATCTGGGGTCAATCATCCTTATTTCTGGAAGTGCTATGCTTTCAGCTCAGAGCCTTTCCTCACACTCTGCCTTCCCCTTCTGATGTTGGCACCAAGTTTTTGTTTCTTACTGATGTCACTATCAACTGCAGTTGGACCTAAGCTTAGGGTAAAGCAAATTGCTGCTCCCAGCCCATACACACTGTTTGATGTCTGGTGAAATTGTTTGTAGGGTCCCCTCCCAGGCTATGTCATTCCAAAATGAAAAGCTCTCATCCTTTCATCCTGTGTGTCTCCTCCCACTGGGGTGTGTGTAAGCAAGGTGGAAAGACAGTATGAATCTAATACTGTGGCTCTTCTTTGTCCCTGATGCTAAAATTCACAGAAACTCCATGTTCTCTTGTTATCTCATTATTCTTGTTCTTGTTTCCTTTTGTTTTAGAGATAGTCATACTCTGTAGCCCAGGCTGGCCCAGAACTTAATCTGTAGCTCACGACAATCGTCATGCCTTAAGCCTTTGAGCTAGCTCCAGTTCCCAGATCTTATGCATTCTATTTAGTTTGTTCTCCCAAACTCTAAGCATCACCTGACAACCAGTGTTGGGGTGAAGGATTCCTTCTTCTTGAGGTCCCAAGGCCCGGGATGTGGGCACCCTGGCTTTTTAAGTGGCTTTCACTGGCCAAGTTTAGACCTCAGGCATGAGCCCCTCTGCCAGGGCAGGTAGCAGATCAGGCTAGTCACTGGTTCTTGTTTGAGCAGAATGGACAGTATTCCATGGGGCCCTATACCACAAACATGAGAAGCCCCCAGAAGAGGCTGTGTATATGCCGAGAAGCCAGTGAAGATCTGCCTTGAGGTGTAAGAGACCTTTAAACCTGCGAAACCATGAATGTCTGTCTCAAGGTTTTGCTGCTCACAAGGCAAGTTTAGGGGTGGCTCTGCCATCAGCCATCTCCTCCCAAGAGATCTGGGTACTGGGAAGGGGAGGGTCTCACCGGTGCTCTACCTGTGGCAGGGCTGGGGCTGGCTTCAGAGCCCTGTGGGAAACCAGGGAGTTCCAAGGAAGAGCCTCTTTATATACAGCCTGAGCCCAGAATTGGTCCTGGGTAGGGGTAGCCAGGTCTACTGTGTGCAAGGCATCTTGATGCCTGGGTCCCAGAGAGTACACCCAGTCCACAGGCCTGCACATGTCCTGTTCTCAATGATGGGTCTCATGAGGGAACACTAATTCTAGCTCTAGCACTTTCTCATGTCAGAGCCACCTTTGGTTAGACTTTGGTCATAGGTGGACACAGTCAGAGGTAGAAGCATAGCAGGTTAGGTAAGTCTATCATCTACACCTGTTGGCTTTGCTTGGCATTAGTCTTCACACTCTGAATGCTATAACCCACTGAGCATCTCAGCTTTGCTTCTGAGACTGCCAAACCTGCCCTTGCCTGGTACCCCACCAATGACAGCAACCATTTGACACTGAGTGTCAACCTCATTCTTCCTTCTGTCTAGGACCCAACCCTGCCTGCTCTTAGACTTGTGTGTGGGGTCAAGGGGCCTGTCATAGACAGGGCCTCTACAAGGATTTTCATTGACTTCTTCCCAAAGCAGAATTTGTTTCAGGTTGATGGCACAGGGAATCATGGGACCATGGGTCACAGTCTCTTCCCTGTTGTGGTCCAACCCCTCTGGTAGAGTTGAATCCAGATAAGGCCCAGCTGCAGTACCCTAGGCCCTAGATTCTAGGGGAAGGTGTTAGGGGACATACTGACTAGGGTCTAGCTGCTCCTCAAGAACACAGCTTAGCAGGATGCAGCCCCTTCATGTCAGTCACCATGAGTACCTCTACCAGTGGCCCCATCAGGAAAGATCATGACCTGGTGTGAGATGCAGGGGAGCTTCTTCAGTTCTTTAGGAGTTAGTTGCCCTTTTTGTGAGAATCCAAGCAGGGTCTCAGGATGATCTGCCAGCCTTCCTTAACCTCCAGCACAGAGCCCTAGTCCTCTCCATGGGAGACATGGTTCAGCCACCTAACCATCTGCTCAGCTGTGATGAAGCCAAGGCCCTGAGGTAGAGGTGATTAGCCACCTCACTCAAGCCAGTGGCTGTGGTATGTTTGCCTCTACCAGCCAGGCAGACCATCTGTGCCCTAAGGTGGGATCCATAGAGTAGTGTCCCTTTTTGGTGTGACTAGGGCTCCTAGTGAAACTCTGGAATGGCCTGCTCACTGCCTGTCTTTAGAGTTATGGCACCCCTCACAATAGCAGAAACTGAGGTTCAGAGTGCCTGTCTTGGTCCCCTCACTTGGTTGGCTGAGCATAGTTAA